ATCAACTTGCAGTTTGAAAAAGCATCTTTGGGATTCTGATTGAAAGCTTATTAGATGAAAAAAAGGACTAGGTGTGGCATGATAGCAATATTCTGATATCTCAGGGGCTGCCCCAAAGAAGAGGGAGTCAAACTATTCTCCAAAGCACCTGTGGGTAGATCAAGAAGCACTGGGTGGAAACTAATCAAGGAGAGAAGCAACCTAGAACTGAGGAGAAATTTCCTGACAGTTAGAACAATTCATCAGTGGAACAACTTGTAAATGATCCAACACTGGACATTTTTAAGAAGATGTTGGATAACCATTTGTCTGAAGTGGTGTAGGGTTTCCTGTCTAAGCAGAGGGTTGGACTAGAACACCTTCAAGTTCCCTTCCAACTCTCTTATTCTAAATTCTGATTTAAGATTAGATAAACAGTTTGTTGTTTCATTGCTATTCCAAGGAGCTAAATAAATAAATTAAGATTGGCACAGAAACTGATGAATTGTAGATGCAACATTTATCATCAAAATATAGTATACCAGAGCCTGAATGGAGCACAGAGGCTTCTATTTCACGTAGATAAAATTTCGACATCTGTTCCCCCCTGCTTAGGCCCTGCAAACTCTTCTCTTTGGGTAAGCCTCAAATTGCAAAGCTCAACACGGCCGAGCAGAATACCCCACAGTGTTTTACGGTGCATAATGTGGGAACTATGACAATAGCATTCTACACTTTCTACAAATGAAGCGAGAGCTTCATTTTGTATTATTCTGACTCATCAGCCAAAAGAAAATAATAAGTGGAAGCAGTGAGTCAGATGTTTCGAAACTCAAGGCAAGAAGGAAGAACATTTACATTTTGAAAGAATTCCCATCAAATGTAAACGAAAGAAGAACAAAAAAAAGTAAAGCAAATACAATAGGAGATAAATTTGGAACGTTCTGTGTCAATCTTTTTGGCAGCTGCCAAAACATGAAAAAAGTTGTTTCTTAGCACAATTTTCAAGGGCTCTCTTTAGCAAGCCGCCTTGAGACGGGATTTGAGCAACTTTTATACTGTTCCTCATTAAGAAGCAATTTATGCCTTTCTACTGTAGAGCCAAGATGTTTCTATTTTCTTTCTAAGGACCCTACTGTGATCCATTACTGAAGGGGGGGGGAGGAAGTTTGCAGCTGGCTGTTTTTATATAATAGATTCCTGAATTTCAGCCCATCTGGTCCATTTCAGAAATTCAGAGAACATTGGTAAAGTTGCAAATTGACTCTCCATTTTGCTGCATTAGAGGCAGTGACACAATATGTGAACCCACAACTCCTAAATTGGAATATGGCTTGGTAATTGTGACTTTGTAAAGTTGGATCATGACCCCAAATTTTCATTTCTGGGAGTGACTTTGCATTTCTAGTGATTTGCAATTCACTGTTCTTTGAAGAATGCCAACTTGTGCGAAAGTAGAAATAACCCAGCTACATTTGGAGTTGGTTCCAGCAAGGGTGAAGTGAAGTAAGTAATGCCCACTGTTCTGAAAAATCCGGTCAGCAAAACCTGGAAAAGAAATGATTTCACAAAACCTGGAGGACTTTTCCATCTTTTGCTTTGTCGTAAGTCTGATGACTCAGTGTAGAAAGTAACTCCTCGCATGGGTTGTGATTAAATTCGTTCTTGGATATTGAAATCCAGTAAAGATAAAAGTCAGCAGAGGAGACATTAACACGTGGCAGGGTACACGTCAGATCTGCCCCAATCTGATCCCTTAGGAAAGAAAGACTCCTGACTCCACTTGGTTGAAGTGAAAGGTTCTTTTAATAAAAGATGTTGGCGGCAGTAAAGTCGGGGTGGATCTGAGTTTTCCGCATTCAAAAGATACAGAAAAGCTTCCCCTTATCCCAGCTCTCCCCCCCCCCCCCGTTACCAGCCCATCTTCAGCCAATCAGAACTCCCCGAAGTGTTTTGAGAACGCTGAGCTGTTCAGGGTAATCCACAAGCCAAACCTTGCACACCTGACAGTAGATGTTTTGAGAATATCTGCCCATCCCATTCCACCTGAATGTCCTTCTTTCTTTTGCAGGACATCAATGCCCATGCCTGTGTGACGGGGAAACCTATCAGCCAGGGTGGCATCCACGGCCGCATCTCAGCCACGGGCCGTGGCGTCTTTCACGGGATCGAGAACTTCATCAATGAAGCGTCGTACATGAGCCTCTTGGGAATGACTCCAGGATTTGGAGATAAAACTTTTGCCATCCAGGTTAGTGGATTTACAAGAGTCACATGGGGAAGGAAAGGGAGCAATGATGGCTTAAGACTTGGATTGCCTTGAGATGGCCTTCGTAAACAATTTAGATGAGGGAATAGAAGGGGAAGTTGCAGATGATACTAAGCAGGCAGGAATAACCAATACCCTAAAACAGCAATAGCAAACCTTTTTCAGCTCATGTGCCATAAGGGGGGGGGGGGTGCAGGAAGGTCGTGCGCGGGCATGCCGCATCCATAATTCAACACGCGACCACTACCCCCAGTATGCATGCGTGCATGAGAGGCACTCCCCCCCCCCATTTTTTGCATGCTTTTTTCGCTCTCCCCAAGGTCCAAAGGCTTTATAGGAGTCTGGGGAGGGCGAAAACAGCCTCTCCCGCCCTCCCGGAGGCCCCCTGGAGGCCCCCCGAGGACTAAAAACAATTCTACGAGCAAACCAGAAGTCCGGTTTGCCCATAGGGCCGTTTTTTTGCACTCCGGAGGCTTCAGGGAAGCTCCTTAAGCCTCCAAGGGGGCAGGGGAGGGCGAAAAATGGCTTTAAAAAAGGCTGAATCAGCTGGCCAGCATGCGCATGCACACTGGCCAGCTGACAGGGCAACGCCTCGCGTGCCCTGACAAATGGCACCGCGTGCCACCTGCGGCACACGTGCCATAGATTCACCATCCCGGCCCTAGAAGATAGGCTCAAGTTCCAGGTGGATCTTGACAGACTTGAACCCTGGGCCCTATCTGACAAAATGAAATTCAATGTAGAGAAAAGTAAAGTCTTACCTTTAGGCAGGAAAAACCAAAGATAGACATATAAACTGGGAGAAACCAGGCTTAATAGTAGTGACTGTGACAGGGATCTTGGAGTCTTAGTGGACAACCAGCTTAAATATGAGACAGGAGTCTGTAGCTGCAGCCAAAAAAGCCAATGCAATCCTAAATTTCATTAACAGAGGGATACAATCAAATCAAATGAGGTCCTAATGCCATTCTATAAAGCCCTAGTAAGACCACACCTAGAGTACTGCATCCAGTTTTGGTTGTCACACTAAAAAAAGATATTGAGATTCTAGAAAGAGTGTAGAGAAGAGCAACCAGATGATTAGGGGACTGGAGACTAAAACATGAAGAACGGTTGCAGGAACTGGGCATGGCTAGTCTAGTGAAGAGAAGGACCAGGGGAGACACGATAGCAGTTTTCCAATATTCGTGGGGCTGCCACGGAGAGGAAGGGGGTCAAGCTATTTCCCAAAGCACCTGAAGGCCAGACAAGGAACTTTCTGACAGTGAGAAACATCAACCAATGGAACAGAAGTTGCCTTTGGAAGCTATGGGGGTTTCATCATTGGAAGCTTTCAAGAAGAAATTGGACTGCCATCTGTCAGAAAGTCACAAGAGGAAAAGTGCATTTTGGGAGGTGGCAATGATAAATTATTGGTATATCAAGCCAAGAAAATGGCAAGGATATACAGTATCACTATATATCCTTGTCATTAAGAGCCAAGCTTTGATTTTTGAATAAAAATAAAATATTGGAAGAATATTTCTCTCACATTAAATGCATAGTGAACTTCAGCCAAATGATTATTATAACTAACATGTAAATGGCATTTTTGTCATGTCAGTCCGGCCATTGTATTAGCTGTTCACCTACGAATGGCCATGAATAAAGTGGCTTTGACTCTAAAGCTTTTTAGCAATAGCACTTAGACTTATATACCACTTCACGGTGCTTTTACAGCCCTTTCTAAGCTGTTTATGGAGTCAGCCTATTGCCCCCAGCAGTGTGGTTCCTCATTTTACCCACCTCGGAAGGATGGATCAACCTTGAGCCAGTCAGGATCGAACTCCTGTCAGTGGACAGAGTGAGTTTACAATTCAGCATTCTAACCACTGCACTACAAGGACTCTTTAGAAAGGTGTTGTACTTCATGAAGCTATTTCAAGAAAAATAGAGGTTCGAGGGAGGGTAATTAAAAACTTATTTTCACTTTTTTTTAAAATAGGGGTTTGGCAACGTGGGTTTGCATTCTATGAGATACCTTCATCGCTATGGAGCAAAATGTGTAGCTATTGGAGAAAAAGAGGGTGCTATCTGGAATCCTGATGGACTTGACCCAAAGGAGTTGGAAGATTACAAACTGGTATGCAAAATGGTTTGCCATTGTCTATTGTCCTGTTGCGCTGGCTATGAAGCTTAGTCATTCTGTTACTGCATTAGAAGCCTTTATGGTAAACAAAACAAAGGCTTCAGATTGGAAAGAAGTTATCAGATTTGCTTGAGTGGGGCACTCAAACTTTAGGTCTTTAGAAAGTATCAAGAGGACGAAGCTCAAGTGGGAATGTTGATTAATGAGGTGGAGCACACACACAAAAAATGGGGAAGCTAACCAAAATAGAATACATATACACACACATATATATATATATATATACACACACACACACATATTTACATACACACACACACACAGAGACAGACAGACACAGATTATACATATATATAAATACACACACACACACACATATTTACATACACACACACACACAGAGACAGACAGACACA